AGACTTACTGTGAGGATGGGTGCAGCTCATGGCTGAGCTGGTGCTCAGGAGGGCTTGGGCACGGTCTGTGCCAGCTCTTTGAGCCCACAGACTCCAATACTTAACATCTGTGTAGCCCTGGGCAAGTGACTCAACTTCTCTGAGCCTTCTCCAAGCCTGCAGTTGCCCTCTCTGCAAAATGGGGCGAGTTAACAGTGCCTGCTTGTGAAGTACTTCCAAGGACCTGGGCCAGAGGAGGACAAGCTGACTTCTCTCTCCCTGCAGGGTCTCCTCTGGGGTCTACGAGCCAGTTGTGATTGAAAGCCATTGAGGATCCAGTCCAGGCTGGAGAAGGGCCCTGCCTTCATGGGCGTTCAGACCCGAATCATTCCACAAGGGACCTTCCCCTTCGGATCACCATCCGTGCCACATCTCATCTGTGCCTCCTCCATGCACTCCAGCCCCAAAATATCATTCCATTGTCCTCCCATCCATTCTGGGACCCTCTTGGCCCGCTGGGGCCCCGGGCACCACTGTGAATATTCTCCTCTGAACCACTAGAGGGCAGGACACATGGGCCCATAAAGCAAGTGGGCCGGACAAAGCTGCGGGGAATGCCCTGCTAGAGAGACACCTGGCCCCTCGGTGATGACATGCAGCAGCCCCTGCCCAAACGAGGATGCATGTGGCCAAGGGGCCTCTTGTCCTGTGTCCCCACTCACTCCAGGAGCACTGGCTTGGCCATACCCTGGCAGGGCCTTGCTCCATTGCTCCCTTGCCCTTGGGGTCCAGTCCACCCCTAGAATCCTGCCACCATGGCCCTCTGACTGCTTAGTGCTTCAGCTGTCCATTCCTTGAGTCCTGGGGGACCTGCTGGCGGCCTCCTCCTGGGAACCAAGACCTCATACCCCACCCACACTCCAGACTGAGACACTTCCCCCCTCCCATACCCCCTGCAACGAATGTTCTCCTGCTGCCCTGGCAGCCTGCACTTTGCACATGCTTGTCTCCGGCACAGCCCCCTGGCCCTTGCCTGCCCTTCTGAGGATTCCTGGGTGCTGTCTGCTGTGCAGTCAGTGGCCCAGCTTTGGCTGCCCGGCTGGAACGCGGCACTGCCTCCCCTCCCTCTGGTTAGCTCCAGCTCAGGCCCGAGCCCCATGCTGAGAAAGGTCTGAGCGCGGATGTTGGTCCCCCTCTGCCCGGGGCTGGGTCCCGAGCAGCTGGCTTCCTGTAGGAAGCCAGGGAAGGTGCCTCCTGAGCCCTTGGAGGTCAGCGGCCTAGCTGGGCTGGACTTGGCAAGCAAAGCACCCTTTGTCTCCCCTCAGGGTCAGCTGGCCCAGGCGGGGGCCAATGCTGGAGAGGCAGGTAGGCTGTGACTAGACTGGCCCGGAGCTGGCTTCCTGACCAGAAAGGCCTCAGCCATCCTCTGAAAGCATCCTCCTCCTGGGAAGTGGGGGCGGTTTCCAGTAGGGAGCAGTCTGGTCCTGCTCCCACCCCTGCCCCTAGCTAAATCCTCTGCTCTCAGCACTTTCCCCTGGTCCTCACCCTCATTACTTCCTTGAAGGTGGGTTCTGGCTGCCAGCCAGTCCCTGGACAGACTCCCCTGCCACTCTTAAGTTTCATTCATTTTGTATAAACCCAGCAGGCTGGTGTTTACTTAGCCCTATACCTTCTTCCTTTTCCCCCCTTTTTTTCTTCTTTTTTCTTTTAGAGTTCACAGTTTGGTATTTTCTCCTCCCCCCAGGCGAGGGGAGGTGGTTCTGTTCTCTCCCTACCTGCTGACTGGGTCCCAGCAGGGCTGGGGATCTGGGTGGGGTGGGGGTGTCCTCCCCAGGCTGGGAGGGGTCCTTGCCTTCTGCCCCACTGGCAAGAGAATTGGAGTCTTGGTCTTGGAACCTCCTGGCATTGGGACCAGAGCATTTTTAGGATTCTTGTTGTTTTTAATTCCGTTTTAGAAACTGAATGTTAGACGGTGCCTGCTAAGGCAGGATGGAGCGTTTGCTCTGGCTGGAGAAGGCTCTGGTCAGCTCTGCAGGTCCCTTCCTGCCCCACAGACACCCACCTGGCACTTTAAAAGGGAGCTGACTGCGCTGTCTCCAGGCGAAGTGGCCCCCGAAAGATGGGGGAACACGGTCCTCCCCTTCTGTGTCTGCATGACCTCAGCCCAGTGGGGAGATGCATTCAGGGTGTATTTGGGGTCTGATTCAAAGTTCTGGGGCTTTAGGCATAAAATAGCTGGCTTTGGTGCTGTTGGGGAGAATTCCCCAAGCCAGGAACCCCAGCCCCACCCTAGATGAGGTCTGAACGTGACAGTCACCCCAGAAGGAGACAGAGCCTGTCACATCCTCCCACGCCAGGCCCTGGGCCAGGGTATTGGACTGAGAAGTAGGCCACAACCAAATTAATGCTGGCTGGAGCCGGAGGCCTGGAGCCCCGGCCTCATCCCCATGTGGGAGCCTTCTTTGTCCCTCTGATTCCCTCAAGCTCAGTGAATTCCCACTAGGTGCCCACAGCTCCAGACTTAAAATCCTATATATAGAGAGAGATAGAAAGACTATATTAGAGATATTTTTGGAAAGGAATTGGTCTATGCAATGCCAGTTTGGAATCTTCTTGAAAGACAGTTTAACGTTTTTACTAGGAGATTTAAAGAAAAGAAATAAAGGTCTACAATATTTTTAGTTTTTTTTTTTTTTTCGGTCACCCCACAAACTGACCACATGGCATGATCTGCCAGGATGGAGAATGTCCCTGGTTCCCTCCCTCAGGGAGGGGAGCAGGAAGATGGGGGGAGGGGAGGTCTTTTTTTTTCTTAACTCCCCTCATTTCTAACCGAATGTTGCCACTACCACCACCACCCCCTGATTCAGTGGGCTGTGTTTGTATCTCTGTCCCAGCTTCTATTGTAGAAAATAACATTGTAAGGGGAAATCAGCCTAGTGTCAGTGTCTTGGTTTGGGGAAAAAATTAAATGTTGCAGTTTTTGTTTGTTACAGCATGTTGGTGTTTTGTTTTACTGAGTTGACTTTGGGTTCAAAGATGGCATCAGAAAGAAGCCAGATGTATAAGGTGATGTTCTGGGGGTGAGGAAGATGGCCAGGGTTCTCCAAGTCCTGACTGCAGCCACAACTAACCATTGTTATTACTCCAGATTTCTGGAGAGGAAACCAAGGCCCAGAAGGGCAGTTTCTTGCCAGCCTCACACCTAAGTGGCAGCTCTGACCTCAGAGCCCAAGTTCTAACCGCCAAGAGTCAGGTGGCCTCTAACAAGCATACCTGAGGGCAAATAACTGCCTCAGTTTTCTCAGCTGCAAATGGGGTTGTAGATCAAATGAGAAAGTGGGCATACAGCCCCCTCCACCGCCCCGGGAGCTTGACCTGCGGAAGGTGCCGAGCATTTTCCTGGCCTCTCTAAAGCTGCAAGTCAGCACTGTCTCCATGCCTGGACCCTTCACTCCCTGCCTCTCACTCTAAGTTACAGAGAAGCTGACTTAGCCAAGCTCTGGGAAAGGCAAGTCACCCTGGGCCTTCAATGGGCTCAGAAGTGGTAGGAAGCCTCAGGACTTTGGATGAACCAAGGCCAGGTCCTTGCCACAGCGCTGCATTATCCCCAACCCGTCTCAGTGCTGATCCCCGCTCGGCCCCTGTAAACCCTGGATGCTGATTCTCTGTCCCTTCTGTTCTAGGCTAAGCCCAAAGTTTGTCCTGAGACAGAGGGAAAAAATAGGGCTATAGACAAAAAATGGTTGCTCCTTTGGAACATGGTGATGCTATGTAAAAAAATCAGTATACAAAATGATAGGGGGAAAAAAGGTGGGTCCTCTCAGCTTTGAGAAGGTAGTCCCCAGAGTCAGAGATGGGCCCAGATGACCAAGGAGAATGATGCTGCCAGCAGGAGCAAGCCATGCCAGGTTCAGATGCATCTCTGCATGTCCCCGGTCTCTCTAAGTGAAGACAGCACATAGAGAGCTTCCGCATAACCCTTCAGGAGGCCTGGAGTCTCCCGGTGCTCTACTCTAGCATTCCAGAATTACCAAATCTTAAAGCTGGTTGATTGATTTAAAGGTCTTATTTGTGTCATGCCCCATGCTGGGCACTGGGGATACAACAGTGACCACAGGCCCTATCCTCAGGGAGCTCTCAGGTGGGCCAGATCAACAAGTAAGTCAGCTAATTAAAATGCACTGACAAATGTCATCATGGAGTGACACTTCGGGCTTTGGAACACAGAGGATGGAACCCCTGCCTAGCTGTGAAGTTCGCTTCCTTGGGGCATGTGACATTCCAGTGAGACCTGATGAATGAGAAGCAGCTGGCCCCACGAGCTGTGGGAACACAGTATTCCAGACCTTGGAGCTGGAGGGGACAGCAAAGATGACCAGGCTTCCAAGCCTGGGGAGGGGCCTGCACACCGGGCCAGTCCTAAGATACGTCTGGGCTGCCACAAGACCCAGGGCCCAAGAGGGAGACAGTGAGGGTTGGGAGGGTCAACCTGGCCTCATTCCTGCAGTGAAGAGGACACCCTAAGGGTCAGCCAATCAAAATCTCCAACCGTGAAGGCTCCGGCCAGCCCCTCCTCCTCCCACCCCAGGCCCTGTGGTGAACGTTTTCTGCACCCTCAACAGACAAGTTAGGGCCTCGGGACCAGGAAATAGGGCCCTCGGGTTCTGGAGTAGGCTTCATCACTGACTCGGGTTGTGATCTGCACGTCCTCGCCCTTCTCTCAGACTCATTTTTTTCCCCATCTGAAAAATGGGACTTCTGCCACTCCACCCACATTCTACTCTGACTTTGGGACTCTGGGCTATTGAGAAATGGGCTTGTTTCCTGGGGTGAGTTCGCCAGGACTGAGGCCACGAGTGCCGGTGGGTCTAGGTTCGCCACTCCATCCTATTCCCGGAGACTCGGGAACATGTCCCACAATGCCCTTGAGAAACTACATTTCCCGACATGCAAACGGGGAGGCGGTGCCTACCTGTCTTGGGCAATCTGGTCCTGGACCGGCCTAAGGACTACGACTCCCGGCGTGCTCCGCGTCCCGAGGCCAGAAGGGCCCGGATGCGGAACCAGATGTGGTGTGGTGCTCCCGCGCCGAAGCGCCGGGGAGATGGTGAGCTTGGAGCGGATTGCTGGGCGTGGGGGCGTCTAGGGGTGAGGTCCTGGGTCTGCTCAGGAGCTAGGGCTTGAGCACTCGGAGCTGGGATCGCTTTTCCGCCGGCCCATCGTACGGGTGATAACGCCTTGGCCCGACACTCTCTCTCCCGGCCTAGAAATTGATGCCTAGTCAGCCACGTCAGATACGTCTGTTGACTGAATGGCGTAATCAGACTGCTATGCCCCTCTCCATTAGTGCACCTAAATGAAGGGTCACTTCCTCAGTTGAGCTCTCCCTTTTCTCCAGGCCACGGGGACTGACCAGGTGGTGGGACTCGGCCTCGTCGCTGTTAGCCTGATAATCTTCACCTACTACACCGCCTGGGTAATTCTCTTGGTATGTGTGCTTCCCCCGCCCTCTCTCACCACCCACCCCTGGATCTTGAAGCCAGCTCCTAACATCATTTAAGCAGCTACAGTGTGACAGGCACTGTGCTTGGTGCTTTACCTGCATATCTCATGAAAGCTCCAGAACAGCACTGAAGAGGGTACTAGCGGTGTCCCCATTTTATAGATGAGGAAGCTGAGGCTCAGGGAGAAGCGTCAGACCCAAGCTGGAATCTTTAACCACTATACTGTAAAGTCCTGTTCTGGATTTGCTTTGCCTCTAGTCCTGGTTATCTGTGGGCTTCTGGACATGACAAGTGCCAGTGGATTTTGTGAGAGTTTTTAGGATTTTCTTTAACCCCTGTGGGAAAATTTGTTGGTTACTGCTTTAAAAAGGGCAGTGTGTTTGGAAAGCAAAATCTTGCAGAACTTGGTATCCTTTGGAGAAAAATGTTAGTAAAGAAGAGCTTGGAGCCCAAGGCTGGGAACCATTCGAGGAGTCCTCATTTTCCCATGCTAGACTGTGGGGGCCTTAGGGCAAGTCCTTTGTCTTCTGCTCCTTGCCAGGTCCCCAGCACCAACTTAGGGCAGGCACCAGGCAAGTGCCCAGTGCACAACTACTAAACAAATGAAGGAAGGAAACAAATCAAGTCACCCAAAATGCCATCATCTTAAAAACAAATGCAGTCTTGGTGCTTTGATGGGATCGGCCCCTGAGACGGAGGAGGTGGGATGTTTGGGCTTGGGGAGGTGGGCAGGGCGAGGAATGCTCACCAGAGCTCTGCCCTCGATGCCAGCCATTCATCGACAGTCAGCATGTCATCCACAAGTATTTCCTGCCCCGAGCCTATGCTGTTGCCATCCCACTGGCCGCTGGTCTCCTGCTGCTCCTGTTTGTGGGTAAGTTCCCCCAACCCTGGGTAGGGTGTCTGAGGGGCCCCAAGACCCTCTTCCACCCCTGAACATGCTGCTGCACTTTGGTACTTGCTGTACATCTGCTTAAGCCTCTTTGTCCCCAGCTCATACCTGGGGTTTCCCTGTTCTTCCTTCTGGGCTGCAAGTCAGTCTTGTCGATGCCTCAGGCTCATTGGACTCTAAAAAGATGTCTCCTTTTTCCTGCTCTCTCCACCACCACTGTCATCACTCTGCTTACACCTCCGTCACCTCTCACACGATTGTCACCCTGACTCATGAGTCTTGCACCCTCTGTCTTCCAGTGTCTAGTCTGTGGGCTTTCTAGGGGCAGAGACTGTGTCTTCATCATTACTGTGTCCTCAGCCCCTGGCTCAGGCTATGGCACTGAGTTGGTGCTCAAGAAAATGGTTTGGATGAGTCACCAGTCAGATATCTGGATGATGGGGGTGGGAGGTGGGTGGATGATGGATGCTGAGTGGGTGGGTAGGGAGGTGGACAGGTGGTTGACTGGGTGAGCAGATGGATAGTTGGATGGGTCTTATTCCCTGTAGAATTGGAAACACTAGACTCAGCAAGTTGCCTGTCGTAGCCGCTTAGCTGATGTTTGTTGAATGAATGTGGGCAAATGCGTGGCTTGATGAATGACTAGGGAGATGCCCAGGTGGTCTGGAGGATGCTTGGGTAGATGCTTCGCCCCATGTGAGGGTCATTCTGCCACACTGTGTCCTGCTCTGGCCTCCCAGCAACACCCAGCTGGGATCTTACCTTTCTGGTCTGTATATTCCAGGACTGTTCATCACCTACGTGATGCTGAAGAACCAGAAGGTGACCAAAAAGGCTCAGTGAAGGCCCAGCAGGGATGAGGCTGCCAGCCCCTTCTCTGCTTCTTCTCCAGGGTAGACCAAGGGTGGGAGCCCACAGGACCCATGCAGGCACCCCTGTGGGATGGAGCTGCTCAGGACTCACCCTGACTGGCCAGAGCCCCTGCTCCTCCCCTGCTCACTCTTCCAGAAACCAGGAGGAAGGTGTACCTGAAAGTTCCCCTCTCACCCCTTCTGGCTCAGGATCTGAAAGATGCTGGCCCTCCCCACCTCACCTTCAGACTCTTGGTTACTTTTTCCTATGGGTTCTGCACTCTTGCCTCAGTTTCCCTCCTGTCACATGCTGTTGTTGGATTTGGCAGGTTCTGGGGCATCATGTGACCTCTCCCCACATGTCCTGCTCTTCCTCCAAGGCAGCTTTCCTGGGTCTGACATAGCCCCAGACCCCACAGGATTTCTGGACCTGGAAAGCCTAGGGCTCACAGGCCCCAGGAGCACCTCCAGGCCTCAGGGCACATTAGGGTGGCCACACCAGGCCCCCAGATCGACCGCTTCTTGTGGAGGGCCAGCCCCCCAGGCCCAGTCCCCCAGCCCCAGTACTGGCTTGTTGGGGAGAGCTGAACAATAAATGTTGATCGTGTGTTTGTCTGAGTTTCATCCCTGACCAGGGGATCGGGGCTGCTCTGGGGCTGGAGAGGGTTAGGAGCTGGCCTCTGCATTGGTCTCAGGTCAAGAGACCCTGGTTTGTGCAATGAGGTTGCCTCAGGGGCCTCCTGGATCATCCCTGTGGTAAAGACAGGATAAAACGGGAGCCAGGACAGATGTGGGTCTGGCCTGGTGCAGTTCATGGCTGGGGAGTTCATGGAGGCGTGACAGTGCCAGGCGTGCCAGGCACCACATCAGCCGCTACCATGCTTCCCCCATGCCAGCCCAGCCAGCATGGGATTTTAAAGATCCTTAGGCTGGTCCCCTAAAAGCCCATCTGTTGTACCGGGCGGCCCAACATAGCCTGGCTCTGAGGCAGTGAGGGCTGCTGGGGGCCAGAGCTGGGCTGATTCCACTGTGTTCAGGTGGACTGGCACAGGCCCCAGCCCTAGTCCCCAGCAATCCCACCATATCCCTCTGGGCAGCCAGCTCTCTCATTCACTGTGCCTAGCGTAAGCCTCCATCCCCTCTCACCTGGGACATTCATTCTCCCTCCAGTTAGCGGAGATGTCCCCCTCAACAGAAAAAAGAGACCAACGGCAGGCTCACCTGCCATGTCCTTACCTGTCCTGTCTTCTCCCCATCCTCCAGTCCAGGCAGAGCTGCCCACCTGGGCTCTGGGTCCTGTCCTCTCCCACAGCTATAGCACGAGCCTCCTGTCTGATGATCCCTCTCAAGGGAACAAGCTCTTCTCAACAAGGTCCTCCCAGAGTTTCATGAACGTCTTACAGGCTCCATTTAAGAGCCCCTCTTATCAACCTGATAATTCCAACCAGGTCCCTCCCTCCTCTCTCCTCTTCACAGCCAGACTTCCCAAAAGAGTGTCCGTACCAGCTGTTTGTATTTCCTCAGCTCACAGTATTCCAGGAGGGCTGCACTCAGACCACCAGTGACATCTAGTCTTTAAATCCAAAGCATGTTTCCTTGACCCCTCCTGTGACATCCCCCCTGGGTGCACCCTCAGACACTGGCTGACTCATTCTCCTACTTTATGTCTCACTTATGCTCCTCTGTTCTCCTGTGAGAAGGCGGGTTCCTCAGGACAAGGTCACAGGCCTTTTCACCCCAGCCTTATAGGTAACCTCATCCTTACCCAGGTTCACCTCCAGCCCAGCTTTCTCCTGAGCTCCAATGTACTTACTGCACATGCACCAGCCACCCACCGGACATCCCCATCGGATGTGATAGCAGTATCTCAAATTCACCCTGTCATGATCTGAATTTTCAGACTCCCCCTACCCCCTGCACAAATCTGGCTCTCCTCTCAAGCCAGGCCCTTTCTCGTGACTGGCATCATCATCATCCTGTGTCCCTGACCCCCCCCCAGCCAGAAGCCTGGCAGACATAAGTGATTTTGGCTTTCCTCTTCCACCCCCACATCTACACAACTCCAAATCCCTTTTCTTCTCTCTCCCCCCATCACTTTCCTGATGTACACATCCTGTGCCCTAAATCACAGAAGGCTTCTTCACTGCTCTCCCCAGCCCACAGTGGCCTCCTCCAGTCTGACTGCATGATAGCCGGTGGCCTTTTGAAAACATCTGAGCATCTTTCTCACACCCATACTTAAATGCTTCTCTGGGATCCCATTCCACTACCTCACATGGCCGACAAGAAACTGCCTGCTCGCTCTCTCCTCACTCCAGCCATGCCGGCCTTCTATTTCCTGGGACTCACTGAGGTTCTTTGCACATGTTACATTGGTTCAACATATCTTCTCAAACGCTGGTTTGTGCCAGATACTGAGCCAGAAAAAAACAAGTCTGGCATGGTTCCTGCCCTCCTGGCTCTCCTACTCTGGGGTGAGGGGTAGGGTGGGGTAGGGGAGAAGATGTAATAAATAAATGAACAAGACAGCCTGACGGTGTTAAGTGTGATGAAAATAAAACAAGGTGATGTGATCATGACTGAGGGGAGGGGACACTTAGAATCGGGCAAGGGATAAGGAATAAAGCAAATAAAATCTACAGGGAAAGGATTTCAGGCAGAGGGAACAGCACCTGCAGGAGCCTGGAGGTGTGAAAGAGTTTGGTGGCCAAGGCCCAGTAGGGAGCCCCTGTGGCTGTGTGGTGGGTGTAGGGGGAGTGAGTTGAAATGGGGCTGGAGAGTGTACAGATGAGCCTCGGGCCATGCCAAAGGGTTTGGAGTTTGTTCCGAGGCCATGGGAAGCCGCTGGAGGCTTCAAGCATGAGAGTGACATCATCTGATTGATGCTTTTAAAAGCTCACGCCGGCAACTATGTTCCTCTCACTCACCCCTGAATCCCTCGGAGCCTACACTGCTCCTGGCCAATAGTGAGTGTTCAAAGTACGTATTGAATGAATGCATGCCCCTGACTTCCCGTGTGACCTGGAGGTAGTGACTTTTCTCTCTGGACCTTAAGTTTCCTCACCCGGAATACGGTCTGTGGGAATTTCACGCCAGAGTGGGTGGGCGGGACTAGATTTAGGTTACCCGCCTCCTCGAGTGGTCCCGAGACCTGAGTCTGCCACCCCAGGAAGGGAATAAGGGAGTCTTCCCGCCTTCCTCCCCACACCCCGGGGGGGCCCTAACCAACTTGCGGCGGCCCCGCCCTGCCCTGGACCGCGGTCTGAAGGATGCTGCAGCCCCGGGGGCGGGATCCGCGGGCGACCGCCGGCGTCCCCGCACGGATTGGGTGCAGCCGTGACCGGCACCGAGCGATTGGTCGACCCAGAAGCAGGGGCGGGGCCTGGCCCCTGCAGCGGGGCAGCCCGGAGGCAGGGGACGCGGCCAGAGCCCGGGAAGCTGCTGCGGGGGCGATGGCCGCGCCGAGCCCAGGGCCCCGAGAGGTAGGTGCAGACCCGAGAGAGGGCAGGAAAGGAAAGGGTTGGAGGGCAGGGTTCGGGCCTTCCCTCCCCTTGGGGAACTGACACACCCTCATCCAAATCCAGGAGGGGTCCTGCACTGAACCGGGACCAGGACACGCCCCACATGGGGCTGCAGGTCTGAATGGGGGGAGTCTGGCGGGTATCCCCTAAGAACTTCCTCAGTTTCCTCATCGGGAAAATGGAGACGATAATAAAAGCTTCTGCTTCATAGGGATGTTCGGAGGTTAAGCTCTCAGCCAGTGATGGGCATATGGTGGGTGCCCACTGCTAATGGGTCAACAGCTATAATTTCAGCTTTGTGCTGACCCTCCGCGCTGGCCTGGAGGAACTCAGCATAGCCCAGCGGAATAGACGACTGAATCACTGACATCATAGCTCCTACTATTAGGAGTTCTTGTGCACAGAGCTCAAACTCAGCAGTAACAACAGTTAATCTGCCACGAAGGAGTTTTCATAGTTCTCATTTTATAGATGAGAAAAGGTGCAGAGAGGTTAGGTGATTTACCTAAGGTCACACAGCAGGTAAGAGACAGTCAGTCTTGGGCCAGGTTTGGCTGCAAAATGAATGCTCTACCTATCGACAATAATAACCATCATTATTTTGGGTGCTGACTGCATGCCAGGTGCTGTCTCCTCACAACACCCAGTGAGGTGGTTCCTAGCATTATCTAAATTTTACAACTGAGGAAACTGAGGCAGAGAGTGATGAGAGGAGGGCTGACAAGCAGTGAAGGTGGGACTCACACCGGTGTCTTTCCCTTGCGGGTTGCTGTCACAATTGCTTCTGGTACCTTCCACCCCAGGTCCTGGCCCCCTCCCCAGAGGCTGGACACAGAGCAACCACCTCAAGCTCCAGCCACCGTGGCCTCCTCTGGCGGCTACGGGACAAGCAGTCTCGCTTGGGCCTGTTTGAGATTGGCCCAGGGCACGAGCTGCACCAGCTGACGTGTATGATGCAGGCAGGGCTGTGGGCTGCCACTCAAGTGTCCATGGACCACCCACCCACGGTGAGTGGCCAGTCTGTCCAAGTACTGACAGCAAGACCAGGCTGATGCCCTGTGCTGCTAATACTACAGGATTGGGGATCAGAGCAGGCTAGAAGGAGAGGAAAGCAGGGGCTTGGTGCAGGGTGGGACATTCTGGGGTGGGGGCTGAGGCCAGGAAGCCAGAAAGCCCAGGGTGTGTTGGGGGCATGAGGAATTGTGTGATTCTAGGTGGGTCTCTGCCTCTCTTTGGGCCTCAGTGTCCCCAGCTGTATAATGGGTGGAAGAGATTGTACTGCTTAGTCTCTGAGGCCCTCCTAGTTCTGCCAAGGTATATGTTTGAGTAGGGACCCTGCCCCCACCCCACCAGCCTGGCCCATCCTCCCTGGAGCTCAGGCTGGGGCCAGGCTGGCTCAGCAGAAAGGATCATCCACTGCAAGCTCAGCAGCTGGAAGGCCCAAGTGAGATGTGTGTTGTTTGTGTGTGTGCACACATGTGCACAGTGTGACCACATCCTACAAGCCAGGTCCTGGTAGAGACCTGGAGTTCCAGGGACAGTGTAGGAGTCCTTTAAATCTCATCACCTGCTCAGAATCTTCTGTGACTCCTCAATACTCAGCATGGCCTCAGGATCCTGCTGGTTCAAGCCCAAGGGCCAGCTGTCCAGCCTCTTTCTCAGTCCATCCCTCCCTTACTCGCTTCAGCCACTTGGGCCCTCCTTCCCTTCTTGGTGGCCACCATGGCTGTTCCCACTGGTATAAGCACAGATTTCAGCACCTTCCCCAGCAAGCTTTCCCTGATCCTGCTCCTCCTAGGCTGCATCAGGCAGGTGCCTTGTCTTCAAGGCCATCATCCCTTTTACCAGGACAGCATCCTGCATCACTTGCCCAGTGTGTGTTGGGCCCATGTGCCAGGTTCTAACTCAGAGCCTAGTGTTGGGGACCCAGTAGCAGATGAGACACACCTAGGACCTGCCTTGGTAGCTCTCACCCTTCCTCCAGCTCTGGGAGGGCTGGCAGTCCGTCTACCCAACTCAGGCACACGGGGAGTCGTCCCCACTGGCTGAAGGAATCAATTGGGAGAAGGCGGGTGAGGCTGAGTACAGGAGGCTTGGAGACCCTGGGACTGATAATATGGGGCTAAGGCTTGCCCTGATCCTCTCTGCTCCTTGCTGCAGGGACCGCCTACTGAGGAGGACTTCTCCGAGGTCCTGATCCAGGTTCATGAGGTAGGAAGCCCAAGACTGCTGAATGGGAGGGAGTATTTTCTGGTCTCCTCCTCAGTTTCTCCATCTGCATAGTGGGAGTGATGGCTTATCCCAGGGCCTTGCAGGAAGAGTGTGCTTCCCTTGACCCTCCTGCGCCGGGGCCAGCTGCACACACTTGGGCCCGGTCGACACTTGGGGATGCTCTTCCTCTCCGCAGGGCTTTGAGCTGGGCACCTTGGCTGGTCCGGCCTTCGCCCGGCTGCGGCGATCCCTAGGCCTGGCGGAGGAGGACTATCAGGCCGCACTGGGCCCCGGCGGCCCCTACCTGCAGTTCCTCAGCACTTCCAAGAGCAAGGCCAGCTTCTTCCTGTCGTGAGCTGGTGGCAGGAGTCGGGAAGGGGTGGGAGTGGTATCCCGGGTGGAGGGCGATGCTTGGGGAGAGAAACAGAATTGCCAGATCAGGGAGGATCAGGGCCAGATAGAGGTCAGATGTTGGAGGAGAGGCTGAGGGCCACGGCAGGAGGCGAGAGGGGCGGTGGGGAGTCCGCTCCAGCTCCCGCTGGTCAGTGACCTCTCCCTCTCGCCCCCCAGCCACGACCAACGCTTCTTCCTGAAGACCCAGCAGCGCCAGGAGGTGCAGGCGCTGCTCACCCACCTGCCCCGCTACGTGCAGCACCTGCAGAGGCACCCGCACTCACTGCTTGCGCGGTTGCTGGGTGCGACCCGCCAGGGACCCGGGACTGCGGGGCGAGGGGAGGGGGGAAGAGAGGGCGAGAAGGGGAGGGGCCAAGGAGTAGCGGGGTTCCAGGATGCGGGGCGTGGGCGACCTGAGCTCGGGCAGGGTGGAAAGGACTGGACGGGTGACCGGGCCAGCTAGAGGCAGAGTTCACTGTAGGGGGTGGGAGGTGCGTCCTAGACAGTGTAAGGGAAGACTGGAGAGTGTGTGTCAGTGGAGCGGGCGGGGCCAAGGCCCGGGGCGGGGCCCAAAGGGGGCGGGGTTGGGATTGGACGGTCCCAGGAGGAGGATACGTCTTCAGGCGCGGTCTGGAGGGGTGGGCTTGGGATGCAGCAGATCTCAAGAAGGAGGCGTGGTCCGGAATTGGGACTGGGCCGGGAAGGACCCAGGGTTGTCGTTTGCGGCTCTCACCTGGCGCCCTCTTCCTTCCAGGAGTGCACAGTCTGCGGGTGGCCCGGGGAAAGAAGGTGGGTGAGGCCCAGGCGAGGGGGCCGGGCCGGAGGGGGCGGCTGGAGGATGAGATCCTGTCCTCCCTCACTCCCTACCCCCGTCCCCAGAAATACTTCATCATCATGCAGAGTGTCTTCTATCCCGCCAGCCGCATCTCAGAGAGGTGAGTCGGCTCCCGGGGCCCTGGCCCCACCTGGAATGTACTCCCTGAAGCACCCACGCTCACTGAGGCCCAGGGAGGAGAAGGGATGTTCCTAAGATCTCCTGATGGGTCGGAGAATGATACCCACGACCGGTGTCTCTGGAGTACTCAGTATGCCTGGGGCGCTGTGTTGAGCCATTTGCATTCATTATCTCCCTTATTCCCAGAACAGCTCTGAGCGGTAGGCGTCCTCATCATCCCTAAGAAACTGAGGAGGGGAAATCCTTTCAGCTACTGCGTAAGGAGCAGGGATTCAAACCCAGCCTCTGATCGCACCTGACCCTCTGATCCCCCTGGCCCTGACTCTGCCAGCAAGCTCCCCATTGGTGCTCCCGCAGGGCCGTGGGCTTCCCTTATGCCCTCTCTTATGCCATCTAGGGTTTGGATCCCTGTGTCGGGGACATGCCAAGGATGACAGGGTGCTAGGAGGCAGGCACAGGCAGGGGTAAAGCGTCCAAGGCTCCTGAGTGGGAATCCCTGCTCTGCTCTTTACTCACTGTGTGGTCTTGAGCAAATCAAACAACAGCACAAAAAACAGCTCTCTGAACCTTTTTCTTCATCTCTAACGTGGGGACAATAATGGAATGGCGTTATGCTGAGGATGTGAACGGTCACCCAGTGGAAGCTCTTTCACCGTGTGATGTTCCCTGTGTGTCTCAAATCTGTGTAAAGTTGAATTCTCTTCCCCCACCCCACTGCTTTACCCCACCCAGGTATGACATCAAGGGCTGTGAGGTGAGCCGCTGGGTGGAGCCTGCCCCTGAGGGTAGCCCCCTCGTCCTGGTACTGAAAGACCTCAACTTTCAGGGCAAGACCATCAACCTGGGTGAGCCATAGGGGTGGTTATTGCCTGCTCTTCTTCCATTTAGAATGAAGTTGGAAGGGTGTCCCTGGCACTGCCCTCTGCCTGAGTCATTAAGAGCCCAGATTCTGGAATCAGATAGCGAATCCTAGTGCCACGACTTTATAGCTAGGTGACCCAGGCAAATTACAGAGGAGTTTCCTCATCTGTGAAATGGAACAGTAATGACACCTGCCCTCCCGGGGCAGATGCATGTGGAGCCCTCAGCACCTTGTCTGGCACAGAATGAGCACTCAGGTGGGGGCACTGATGCTCTGGCAGGGCCCCAGCGGAGCTGGTTCCTCCGCCAGATGGAACTGGACACCTCCTTCCTCCGGGAGCTCAACGTGCTAGATTACAGCCTCCTCATGGCCTTCCAGCATCTCCACGATGATGAGAGGGGCCTGGGCAGGAGCCTCATATTCCGCACAGCCAGGTGGGCCCCCAGAGGCAACAGTAAGAATGAGTGATGAGAGCATGGAAAAGACAGATGGTGTGATGAGGAAACAGCACAGGCAAAGACCTGAAGACTGAAAAGTACAGTGTTTATGTGTACCTGTGTGTATGTGTGTGTAAGCATGCAGGGTGGAGGGCTGGAGAAACCTGGCTGGCAGAGGTAGTGGGAACCACAGCAGGGAAAAGAACAGGTGAGATCCAGTTGGACAAGAGCTTCAATGCTGATTTGAAGAATCTGCCCATTTTCCAGAAGGGGATGTGGAGTCACTGAAGGTTCCAGACCTATTTAATTTTTGCTTTAGAAAGAGTCCTTGCCCCTTAACCCAGTGATTCTACTTCGAGGACCCTGAGGTCATCACCACTGGCAGCAGCATCCTGGTGTCTTTCTCTTGTATGCCCCCATCCTTACATGCTGACTGTGGGCCTCATTGAGAGGTAGGGATCATTCCCATTTTAGAGAAGTGAAAACTGAACCTCAGAGAGAGGAAACGAAGTCGTAGAATGACTTCTAATGATTCATATTAGTACTTGGTTAGTTACTTGGATTTCAGTCCTCCAAGGCCCACCTTTGTGGTTGAACAGAATTACACAGTGCCTTTAAGATAGGCACTTAAAGGAAATAAGTCCATTGATCTGGTGGTTGGACAAGAAGAGTGAAAAATTATGTCCACTCACTCAGCCCCCAGCCCCACCCTTTGGAGGCTTGAGCACTACCCAGGGTAATGGCTCCCCACGAAACCTGTGGCTTGGTGGGCAAGTCCTGACCAGATGGTGGAATGCCTGCCATGGGGTACAGAACCCCAAATTTGTCCATTCAAGATGGGTTGGCTTCTCCCTTGCCCTCTGCCTCAGCTGCTGCATAGATTACAGCTGTCAACCAGCCAGTAAACCCAAGTTTGTATACAATGGTTGTTGTTCTATTGAAATATTTCTGTGCTACCTGGTAAATGGCCACTGCCACAGTCCCACCATCACCTAGTTCCCATCCTCTCATTTGGAACCACACTCTCCTCCTCCAAGGTTAACCATAGCACTGCAGAGGGTACCAGTGCTCTATCTGGCTCCCAGACCACTGGGTTCTGATTGGTCAGTGCCTAGGCAGAGCTTGTCTTTGATTGGCTTATTTCCCCCAAAACCTGAGCAGGTCAGGAATAAAGTCCTCAGAGACCCACCCCCACCCTCTCACTACCACCACCACAGGAGGACAAAGTTAGGGAACTGAATCTGCTTCTTTCTGGCTGGGATTGGGGGCCCAGCTAAAGGCATCTTCTGATTTGGAAGACAATCTGAGACAAAAAGACACGCCATATGCAAACTGAGGCTGGACTTTGTTTGCAAAGTTTCACTTCTGCCACCCTGAAACTTCCAGGGTTGGATGACCCCAAAGAGAAATTTAGGAAATACCCAAATATGGGATTTACCCAAAGTAATGTGGCACGAAAGTGCAGAACCAGATTCTGGGTGAGCTGTATGCTCTAGACTAGCACTACGCAGTGCTAAATAGAAATTTAATTCGAGCCACACAGGCAGTTTAAAATTTTCTAGTAGCGCCTTTTTAAAAATTAAAAAGAAATAGGTAAAAATAATTTAAATAATATCATTCATTTACCTCATACACTCCAATTTTTGATCATTTTATCACCTAATCAATATATAACATTTATGATATTTTACATTCTTTTCCTCATACTGTCTTGGAAATTCAGCATGCATTTTACACTTATCGCACATCTCAATTAGGACCGGCCACATTTAAGTGCTTAGTGGCCACAGTGACTGGCTGGTGGTTGTGTAATGGGCTGCTAAGCTATAGACCATCAACTGCACTTTACTCAGCTATCCAGTTTATCTGACGTCGCTGGCTTGGGCACGCAGTACGTGTGGGAATGATCCAGTTCATTGGCTGGGGCTCTCTGGAGGAGGGGGCAACCTCACCTACCTGTCTGACCGCAGGTCTTTGCGAGGGGTACAGAGCCCGGAGGAGCCGGGAGCCCAGAACCGCCGGCTGCTGCCCGATGCCCCCAACGCCCTACACATCTTGGACGGGCCGGAGCAACGCTATTTCCTGGGCGTCGTGGACCTCGCCACGGTCTACGGGCTCCGCAAGCGGCTGGAGCACCTATGGAAGACACTGCGCTACCCGGGCCGGACCTTCTCCACCGTCAGTCCGGCTCGCTACGCCCGTCGCCTCTGCCAGTGGGTGGAGGCGCACACCGAGTGACCGGCACCGGGCCGTGCTCTCCCCATCTGGACAATGAGCGCACGCCGCGGGTTGCGGGTTCCAGCCTGGCCCCGGCAGCGGGTCAGGCTTCCCTCGCCCGATGTTACTCCCGTTGGCCTCCAGAGGGCAGCATCCCCTAGCTAATATTATGAACTCATTTGACGGCGCTGCTGGCCGGGCATTGTGCCAGGGATTCCCCTACCTTAGCCAACGTAATACCTCAAAAATCAAAAAAAAAAATAGCTATTCTTCTTCTTCTTCTCCTTTTTTTACAGACCATGAGATGGAGGCTCATGGGGTGAAGGGACTGAGCAAGATCATTCAGCAATAAATGCTGGAACCAGGACTCAACTATGCCTTTTGGACTCAGGAGCCTGTATTCTTACCCACCAACTCCTGCAGCCCTGTCCTCATTGGGGATGGGGGTAGGCTGGAGGCTCCAGCCCAGCCCCCTTGTCTTCCAGATGGGAAAACTGAGATCCAGAGACATTAAGGGGCTTATCCACTGGTAAGTGGCAATGCCAGCCTGGGAACCCAGGCCCCTCAACTACCCCGCCCCTGGCTCAGGAAGGGTCCACTGGCCTCCTTCTGGGGAAAGCCCCCTGACTCATGCTCCTCTAAGGATGCAGGTGGGAGAATGTGGGGTATTGGGGGGCCTGCAGCTCTGGGAAGCTTTTTGTTGGGGTCCACTATTGATCTTGAGCAAACTCTACCCTCCCCTGGGAGTCACTTTTCTCATCTGTGAAATGGGGTCAGGGGTTGGTGGTCAGATCAAGGGACCTGGGTGCACAAACGTTACTGGAAGCGGAGAAGCAAACTGCCTGCTTAGCCCCTGATCTTTCCTTCTCCCTCCTCCAGGAAACTCCAGCTCAGCCTCTGAGCCCAGTCCAATCTGACCATGTCCAAGTGGGCCTTTCCTCTAGAGCCGCTCTGGGGGTGGCTGTGTGACCAGGGCAAGGTGCTAAACCTCTCTGTGTTTCAGTGGTCTAATCTTTAAAATGGAAATATTTAACTCATTAAATATTTATTGAGCACCTGCTATGTGACAAACCCTCTGCTGGGAAATCCGGACTTGAAGTGGAACAAGATGCAGATTCCACCTCCACAGAAATCACAGTCGGAGTGACCGTGACAAATGCTACCCAGTGTGACAAAGCCTCATGAAGGAACATGGGGCTGTGGAGCTCAGAGAAGGAGCCCCCACCTAATTATTTGATGAGAGAGGGACTCTAATCTCTAAATTGAGACCAGAATAATCAAATGCAGCCTTGGGAGGGTCTCAGGCAAAGGGCACAGCAAAGATCTGGGGTAAGAGAGAGCCTGGCATTTGAGAGAAAGAAACGTTACTCTGTGGTCAGAGTTCAGAGTCGGGGGGACAGTGTGGAGGTGGGGGATTTGCGGGCCAAGAGCTGGTCCCCAGGACTGGATGACTCCAGACCTTGGGAAAGCCATGCAGTTACATCCAACACTGCCATTCCATTGGCCTTCAGAGAAGATGAGGAAAAATGGCTCATGAGGAAGGGAGAGAAAGGGAAAGCTTATGCCGCAGGACTAGATTGTGGGTTCCTGGACTATATATGTAACTGATATCACCCTAAGCTGTGTGGGTGACCTTGGGTGATTACTCAACCTTTCTGAGCTGGCCCAAGTCACAGAGAATTTCTCCTTCGGGCTCAGCAGGAAGTTGAGACACAGAATGTGTTAAGGCCATCACTAGGGAGGTGGGTGGGTCGTGGAAACTCTGGTGGAAGGGCAGTATGGTAGGAAACTGGGGTTTGGCCCTGCATTTCTCTGGGGTCTGGATCCAACAGGGGCTGAGTCAGAGCCCGAGTCCTACGCTCAGAAAGGGATGGCTCAGCCCTTACATCCTTTGGGTCTCTGGCAATGGGCTGAAGCAGGGATGGAGGCTGGAAATGGAGGTGGCTCATCCAAGATCTCACGGGGCTCAGGACTCCAAGCTCTCCTAACTTGCTTATTCAACAGACATTATCTGGCCCCTAGTGTGTGCCAGGCACTGTGCAGGTGTTGGAAATGCCCCAGTGACATGACTAGCTTGACTGCCCACATGGAGGTTAGAGCCTAAGGGGCAAGTGGCCCATAAACAAGAAAACCAGTTAATACACAGGGTGATTTCAAAGTGTGACAAGTAATATGAAAAGAATAAATCAAGGTGGGACAAGAGGGATGAGGGTGTGGTGTTGGATAGAGTAGTTGGCAAGAGCCTTTCTGAGGAGATAATATTTGAGCTGAATAAGAGCTGGCCATGCGACTAGAGAAATCCAAGTAGAGGATAGAGCAAGTGTAAAGGTACTGAGGTAGGAATGAGCTCAGTGTGACTGGGGATCAGAAGGGTGGCCAGGGTGGGTGGACAGTGATTAGGAAGGAGGCAGGAGATCGGACTGTGCAGAGCCTCGTAGGTCACGGGAAGGAGAGGGGACTTTTGCCAAAACCAGATTGAAGAGCTTCATCTGAGGCTGCGGGACTTCCCAGTGTCCGTTCCACTGTGGCTGTATGATCCTCATCCTCTCTGGGAGCCTGGGACATTTGGGCATCTCCTGGTCTCCCTTCGGTCCTAGCAAGGAGGGATCTGTCTCTCTGGGGAAGGAATCGTCACTTCATCAGCCATTATGGGTGATCAGTGCATGCATTGGGAACATCTCACCATTTTCCCCTTGGGGTTGAAGGATGAGGACTTGGAAGGCCAGAAGGGCTTCGGCTTTGGGGACCCACTGTGTACCTTGCTTTGTGTGAATGAAGGGCCACAGAGAGAGACTGAGCTTGGGTGTGCCCAGGCTGGGGCAGGGGAGACAAGGAAGGGTTGTGCTCAAAGAAGGCCCTGGGGGCAGGGCTGCTTCAGCAACAGCCCCCCTCAACAGGAAGGGGAGAGGCATGGAGGCCTAGATCACTGGAATGGGGTCTTGGCTTTGCATCTGGAGAAGAAGGTTGCTGAGCTGGGTGCAGATACCCAACACGAATCCCTTGCTACTGTGCCCGCACCAGAGCCTCTGAGAAAAGGGAAAATGGAGTTTGAAATGGTTCCCATTCCACGGCCCTGCAGAAGGAAGTGCGTGTGGCAGGGGTGGTAAGACCTCTTTCTGGCCCATGAAGCATTTTGTAAGAAAAAAACCAGTTTATTTACTTATTTTTAATTGATTTTTTGTTTGTTTGGGGGTATTGGTAATTAGGTTTATTTATTTTTTAATGGAGGTACTGGGGATCGAACCCAGGGCTTCGTGCATGCTAGGCACGCACTCTACTACTGAGCTATACCCTCCCCACCAAAAAAATGTTTAGATGGGAAGTATGCTTTCCACTTCCCCACAGGCCCACCTCTCCCTGTTGCCCCCTATCTATCCCTTCAAACTTTTCTGGGCCCAGAAGGCACTTGAGTTTGAAATCCTTGAGGAACCCCATGTAAGCCTTCAAATGGGACACATTTCAGCACCTGCACGGGCCCTAAACTGAGCTGGCTTGGATTTGAGGACACTTTGAGAAGAGGGCTGTTGTACTGTGATTCCCTTTGTATTGTGATTCCTACTCATCTTGTGTGAAACTCACAGGATTTAAGCTAAGTAAAATTCAAGATGGAGTCACAGTGGCCAATGTGAACTTCCACATTACTTGCTGTGAACTGCCCAGTATAGGACTGAGAGTGTCTTAGTGTGATAAATTGAGTGCTGCTTTAGTTAAAGAATTTGGTTCCTTGGGAAGAATTTACCGGAACAGAGGGAATAACTGATAGAGATAAGACCCCTTGGGGCATAAGTGGTACACCCTACTGGCAGATCCCTTTAAATGAGACCACAGTGCTGAGCGACTTGAAGATTCTTTGCCTGGGGACTCCACACTGCAGAGAACTGTTCCAGACGGATGCACTGTTGGAGCAGAAGATAACTTCCCACTCACATCTGTCATGAGACCCATTTGGCTGGACCAGAGCCTGCTTCTTGTGCTGAGATGGCTCCTTCCCAGACTTCTTTTTGGAGTGGTTTGTTACCCCCTTTTCTATTTTCCCTACTTTGACTAATCTGTGTTGCATGCTAATTGTGTGCAATAAACCAAGTAACTCTTGAATTGAATACTGCCTATGTTTTGTTTATCTCCAGTCCCATGATTCTTACCTGGTTTTACCGCTGGGCCTTGCAACAAAACAGCGGCGATTGGGAAGTTAAAGTAGGTAGTCAGAGCCCTGGCTCCAGAGTGAGACCACCCAGGGTATGGATCTCGGCTCTGCCACAGATGCCCCTATCTCACCTGGAGGTAGGTGCTATTATCAGCCCCCACCCAGTCCACAGAGGAGAAAAACTGAGGTTCAGGTCACATCACCAGAAGCCCAGGGAAGGCTGCCAGAAAAAATACAACACGACATTGGAATTTCAGGGTTTTAACATAATTATTGGCTGTTTCTGAAATTCCAAAATAAGTTGGCGTTCCGTATTTTAGTTGCTAAATCTGGCAACCCTACCAGCCTGAAACCGGAGGCTGCCTGACCCTAAAATACAGCTTAATCCCGGGCCCCAACAATTTCAGAAATGGAGAAACTCCAGTCCAGACGACCAGGGAGCCATGGTACAGTGGTTCCAACACCCTCTGAGCCTTTCCTCTGCGGGGCCGCCCACCCCCGCCTCCCGCAGGAGCTTGGGAAAAGTTTGGGAGGGCGGAAGAGCAGAGATGCTGGAGCTCAGACTCCGCCCCCGATTGCTGAGGCCGGATTCCCTATCCCGGAGGCCTCGCCGCCAGCCACGCACGCCCCCGCCGCTCCGGTCGCCCTTGTAGGTCCCGCCCGTAGGTCCCGCCCCTGCCGCTCAGCCCCGCCCCCAGCGCGCCTGTCTCCTCCCCGTCCTCACAAACCCCGCCCCGCCCCCGGCAGCGCAGGTTCAGTTTACAGCCTTTAGAAGCTGCGGCGGCAGCGCCGCTTCCGCCCCAGGGCTCAGGCTTCCAGTCCGGCTAGCCCGGTCCGCGGGCCATGGAGTTCCGAGCAGCGGATTCGGAGCAGCCGGCGCGTTCTAACCTGCCCGCCCGGTTAGCACCCCGCCGGGGGAGGGGGCGGTGGGGTCTGGGGAGAGGGGTGGAAATCCCTCGTCTATCCCGCCCCGGGCCTTTCCGTTAGTGAGGTAGGAGGGATGGGGTGGGAGTCGGGCTCCTGGCTCCTGGTTCTGTCTGACCCAGACTCGATGGATGACCTTGAGCCAAGGGCTCCCCCTGACTGTCTCTCCTTCCCCGCCTATACAATGGGGATTGAGTTGGCGGGAGGTTTCCCAAGGATCACTGATGCCAGCTCCTTTAGGATGGGAACAGTGCTTCCCCTTGTTTGGGGACTTTAAGGCTTTTGATTCCCAGAAGCCA